TACATAATAGTCTGCATACAGATAAAAGGAAGCACATTTTGTAAGATACAGGTAGAGGACTTGCACCATACCAGGTTGAGGAAAGAAAGTATTTGGCAAGGCATCAAAATGTGAGGAAGTGTTGACAGCCATTTTTGGCAACGAAACTGGAGAATGCAAGCCCTGCCTCTTGACTTGCAAACCCTGAGGTGGAGTGCTGAGCTATTAACACCACTCATACGTCCCTTTTCTTCCCTTTCGCTCCAGCACCTGTATCGCTTTCAAGTTTGATAAAACATTAGTCCAGGAAAGAAAGTTCTCACACATTGCAGCTTGCTAAGGCATTTTCTGACAAAGTCAACGTTAGCTCAGTGGATCAAACAGCTGTACTGATTCTATAAGAAAGAAGCCTGAAGGGACTGATTAGAACAGTATTGGATAGATATTGATGTTATCTTTTTTTCTTCCTTGTAAAACAGTTACCAAATCAAGTTCTTAAATGACTTTATGTAGTTAGTTCTACCAAAGTATTCTCCATCTTTAAATTATCTGGTACAAAGTGTGATAATCCAAATGCAGGACCGTTCTGTTCTTGTGCAAACAACGACACACACACGCACACGGTAGAATTAAACTGTCAGGTGACTTCCACCAAATGTGAATCGTAGCGCTTAGTGTTGGGATGTGCTGCAAGATTTGGGGTCTGATGCCAGATGCAAAAAGTACAAAAGATAGTTTGCTTTGTCCTGCCTCAGGCAGTGTGTTTTTAACATACAGCAAAGGATGTAAAAGTTACTTTGTGAATTGGAGTCTCACCTGCTGCAGAGCCATAGTCTTCACCAAAAAGAACTGATACAGGCTCCTGCTGTATTTGACTTGCCTCTGTCTTCAAACAGATCATCATCTCTTTATTACATTGCAAGGGAGTGCTTATCTGCAAAATTAATGCACAATTATCCACAATGTGTAGATATAACCAGATATATTCCAGTATAGCTGGAATATCTCAAGTCTTTTGCCTGTGTGTGTCCATGTTAGCCTATGTCAGCTTCCTTAGTCCAGCAGCATTGAAAGGAGAATCAAATTTAATCTCCTACCACAGACAATAGCCTTAACCTAATGTCATCAGGTAAGACTGAATAGCTTCTTTATTCCAAACTTTTTTGAGAAGGGATAAGGCCATCCCAGATATAAAGGATTCATTACTTTTTCATAGAAATAGAATAAAACATCATGGTCTCAAAACATGCTACTTCCCATGGAAAGTAACTGGATTTGAGTGTGGAGAGTACTAGGTGCATTGCAGAGCTATTTCAGAATACATTAATATTTCCAGCAGCTATCTGTTAGGGTGACATCAGTTTTTGTCTTTCTGCAAGATACCTGGCAGGTGTGGTTATATGGTTTCATGCAGGTGCGACTCCACTCTTAACAGTAGTGTACTTACAAGAACAATGGAAAAAATAGGTCTGTCCCTTTCTTAATGACCAGCTGGCATCTGCAATTTTCTTCTAGTTCTAGAAAGTGCGAATAAAGTGTGGATAAAAGGATCACTAGGAGATCTCAAGGGATGGTATTAATGGGCACACATTTAGCCTGAAAAACTTTTTTGTTCTGTTGTCTAGAAGAAAGCTCTTTAGTCCAGAACTGGTTGTTAAAAGAATTCTATTCTTCATGGTTTTGCTGTCTCTGTTGTTAGGTAGTTCTTTTCTGTTCTACTGGAATTACTGGGATGCATACACATGGGTATATATACACACACGCACTAAGATATTTGTGGAGAATGAGACAATCTTCTTAAAATCTTCGGCAGTTCTTAAACACTTAGTTTTCCTTGGGACAGTTGGAAGAAACCCATATGTCTGTGAGTGCTGCTGAGCTTAATAGACTTGATTCTTAACGACCTAATTGTTTCAGTTTTTCCACAGAGATGATGGGGATATATGGTATGAGAGAGCATCTTGCCTCGAAGTCTTTAAAGCTGTGCTGCTGCATGTGATGCAAACTTAGATGAATTATCTGAACAAGCAAATCTGAGGCAGGAAGAAAGGTCAGGCTGAAATTGCTGGGTCTGCTGTCTGTGCAACTGCAAGAAGTGTGGCATGTTTTATGTAAGGTGAAAGCTATGGATGCTATGATGTGTAGAAGTAGGCATCTTTGAGACATGTGAGGTCACAGCTTGCCCAGACCACCAGCTAGAAATATTCTGAGTTCCAATTAGGAAAGGGCTTAAGTTCCTTCAATTAAATTGAAGCAGTCTCAGAGCCTGCATAATAGGATGCAATGTTAAGGGATGTTCTGGACTACAACAAATTGTGTATAAACATATTCATTGAGCTAGGATGCCCAAAGGTAGTTTTATGCAAGTAAAAAATTAGTAGGACTTGCTACTTAAAAGAAAATTGTGAAGCTTGGAAATGTGTCATGACATATGTGTTCTCATACACACTTTGGAAAAAAAAAAAAAAGAGAGAGAAGCTTGATTATGGATCTAATATGCTAGTCAGTACTGGATCTGAAAGTTTTTTCAGCTTGTCAGAAGACCTTTTATGAGCATGGCACGTCAAAGAGATTTTCAATTTCTGTGAGCAACAAATACCGATTTGTTGCTGTGGTTGACCTGGAATTTCTTTTGTCTTCAGTGAACTTTTTAACTGTGTGAATGTCCTTTCTAAGACAATAGCAATCCATATTAGATTTCCCTGCAAGATTCAGGTACGGAAAAGCTCTTGGTTTAGTGCCTGGATGTATAGTAGGTAGCTCAGGGTACCATTTCTAGCTGCTCGAAGCAATGTTGTCTTCCACTAGGCTTGAGCTTCACTTTCTTCAGATGGAGATGTTTTTACTGTAGTCCAGCAGCTGGCAGTAAGATTCAAAAATTGCTTTACTTCCTTCATTAGTCATTCAGTTTTCTCTCTTGTCACGATATGAATTCTGCAGGAAGATTTCTCCTCTCAGTTAGAGGTTGCTGGTTCATTCTCCTTCTAACATCTCCTATATAGCATGTTTCTGTTCTGCGTATTGTTATGTTACTGCTTAGTTACATGTCTGTTTCTTTACTGCAAGAGAAGAGAGAAGCAAAGTTTTAGTTATGGACAGAAAATAGCATATTAACAAGGAAGTTATTCACTTGTCTTCAAAAAAGCATTTGGAAATGGAGGTGACTGTCAGTGAAGCATCTTTTGTTTCCCCTGTTGGTGAGGTGTGTACATGCTGAGCCCTTCCTTAAGAAAAACTTCCCTAAAGGTAAATTTGCCAGAATGACCCAATAATAAAGGTTGCATTAAATACTAATGAAACCCGCTTTCTGAAAGTAATCCTGAGATGGTCCCCTAGTTTGCCAGCAATGGTCTGGGTACGCACCCAGATGTGTGTATCAGCTATGCAGTAGCTAAAAACTCAAAACTCCGAAGTTGAACAGATGATTGAAATAGTGTTGATTCAAGCTGTTTGTTTGATCAAGCACGCGATTATCCATTACTCTCTTTGGAAGAACCTTAACAAAATACAAAAATTCTACTCTTTTCTGTTGGTTGGCAGGCTTAGTTTCTAGTGAGTTGAGAAAGCTGGCTTACGCAATAGCCTCAAGTGATTTTAAATACAGAGTATTAGGATGGCAAGTAGGTAGAGGTTTCTCTTTGGTGCCCCACACGCTCTCCCTGTGGTGTTTTGGGGTTGTTGTTTCCTAAGCAAACTATTTTTGCTTGAATTTGGCTACTTGATGAAATCTTTATTCTGAGATTTGTTATAAAGCTTAGGTTAGAGATGAACCAAGTGTTAGTTTATTTTAGGGAATGACTTATCTTTAAGGTTTACTGGCAAATAACTAGCGTCTACAATTATTGGGGGGGGGAATAAGGTGATGTGCAAAGTGTGAGTTCTGTATTTTAGAATTGGTTTCTTTATAGACCTCACAAGTTACTTACTAAAGCTGTTTTCCAGCTTGAGTAGGATCCTGTTATTGATACCTACTTTATATTCTAAAGTTATTTGTAACCCCTTTTTAACAGGCAAGTTGTACCAACTTGTACCTACATACAGCTTCAAGAATGGGTCTGTATTATCATTAATAGTTAAGAGGTAAACTGAAAGATGCAACAGGAATCCTTAAAAACCCTTTGGAAGAAGCACAGTGTATTTTTTCCATCCTGGATCCAATAACTTTGGCAATCATTTTTTCCTCACAAATTCTCTGCATAACAATACTTATTAAGAAGAGATTTTCCTGCCTCCTTCTGCTCTTCCCCTTCCCCTCCTGAATTTCTGACTTGGTTGGACTAAAGTAGTTTCTTAAATCAGTGCATTATTATTATTTAAAATGACTTAATTTGTGCATCAGTGTCTTCTTAGGTGTAAATTGGGACTCATAGTACTGTTTACCTACAATGACATCAAATTACTAAAATTGACTCTTTCAGGACATTGTGAAGAATAAATAACAACCTGAGTTGTTTCATAATACAGTACTGTAAATCTTCTCTATGCAGTTGAAGTAAGTGTCATTTTTCAGATCACGTCCAAAGTCTGTAAGGAAACTTGTGGAGCAGCACAGACTCTAAGGTGTAGAAAGTGTTTAAGATCAACACATCCTATTGCAATATAAATAAGGTATTAGAGCTAGATGATGTGAATGTTGTTGACCTGTTTGCCACAGACTATTTATGGTTTGATAGAACAACTCCTTCATTAAGCTTTGCAACCCAATTTCTACAGTTACTTCAAAAATCTTTCAAGAAAAAGACTTAATAAATTTTAAAAATAGCATAGTTGTAGTGCTTATTAAAAAGGTGATTATTCAATGGCTCCTGAATTTCAAAACCAAATTTAACTTTTCTCTGTTTGGCTGGGAAGAAAGCTGTGATTTAATGACAAAAAAGAGCGGGATAGCCTTGCACACTCTTTAATGATACTAAAATATTTTAATTATGGACTTCAGTCATTAAATATCTAGAAAATGTAATTAATTTTGTTTTAGGATAGGCTTCTTATGATTATAAAAATGTATTTATTTTCTATTCTAGGTGTGGAATATCAAGCAGATGATTAAATTAACACAAGAACATATAGAGGCACTGCTAGACAAGTTTGGAGGAGAACATAACCCACCGTCTATATATTTAGAGGTAAGTTTGCATTCAGATGAATGTGGTTGGATTGCTGGTGTGTTATATTAGTATTACTTGAAAGCATCTGATGTTAAAATTGACAATAGCTATAGTATGAGTGCACCTTCCTTGTGTTAGAAGCATAGCATTTTTCCCTGGAGACAGAAGGGAACCGTGCAGGACTCCTGGTACGCATCAGTGGGAGTAGGTCACTGGCATGTTCTAATAGTTATGTTTGTGCAGTGGAAATGTAAAGTGTTCTGTTCACTGCTGTTCCATTCTTTATGTTGCAGGGGCAAAAGATTGTGTGTAATACAGAAGTTGTTTGTAAAAGAATTTGTGTAATATAAAAATGCATGCTATATGTATATACATGAATATAAATACAGGCATATATATATTTATGAATATGAAAACATCTCTAAGGCTAACTTTGTTCTTAAAGCAGTTGACTTCATTTTTTCCCTTGAAAAGTGTTCACATAGAATTCAACAATTATTTTAGGTGGAAGGGACCCTCTTGACAGAAATTTGTAAAGCTGCAGGGTGGAGTAATAGTTAAAGCTGCACTTGATTTATAATTAGTTTACAAATTAAATCCTTTTATTCTTCCATCATTCCAGATTCATGAAATTGCATTGACGCAGGACCATTAAGATCATATTGAAGGACCACATGCATAAGTTACATCCCTTAGGAATTGAATTGGTATCAGCTTGCTCCAAACCCTGACCTTTTCTTGGTTCTTTCAAGTATTGAAATAACTGCAGGTCAACCAGATTCTTTTGTAGTCTTCTTGGTTGCAAGTGCTGCCTAAAGTCACTAGGTAATTAAAAATAAAGATTCTAATTTTTGAGGTACTTCTAGCTTTTATCTTAATATGTCAGACCAGGGCACTAGCTTGATTATACAAATATTGATATAATATCCCTAACTGTTAAGGACAAATGAGGCTCTCCATAGTTGCTTTACTTATTGGTAGTGTGAAATGGAAGTATTGAATGAGCGCTAATCACTATTTTAACCGCTCGGTGGTATGCAGGCACCCCTTTGTTTTCATGTGAGCTGATTTATTCCATATCTCTGGATTTAATATCACCAAATATATGTTGGTTTTATTAGATTGTGTATCATATATCCAATAATAATGAGAGCAATTTTTTCTAAGTCTGAATTTGAGGTAGTGAAATGGTTAGTTCATGACAACTATTTGTCACTTGCTTGTATCTAAATTGAAACTGAGATCCCTACATGGGAGACCTTTAGGTTATTCTGTAGTTCATTGACAGGGAAGAAGGCATTTACAGTGGAAAATATGTACTAGGAAATGATTGCGATAGTATAAAGAGCTTAAGTCTGAAATGGTCAGTGATTACAAAACGTCAAGCTTAAAGCAGAGCTGTGAATTTGATGGTTCCAGGTGTAGCCAAGATGAAACAGCAGCGCTGCGGCTCATTAACGTGGTCAGCTGGCCCTGCAAGGCCAAGCAGGGTGGTCTTCTGCCACAGTTGTGAGTTGAGCTGGATTGCGAAGCAGGTGTCATTAACAAGTGGTCCTGGTACAGGTTAGGTGGCATTAAGCCCCAGGAAGGAAGGAGGAGTGACTGGGATTCTGCTTTTTCAGCAGTGAACTGTTTAATTATGCCATGAGACATTGAGTCCTGCAAGAAAGAGCTCTCCATCACTGAACTGAAAAGCCTTGCTTTTCCCAGCTCTTTGCTCCATGGTTCCTCTGCTTCCTTGGCCGTGGTGCTTGTAGTACCAGTAGTGGCTAAGCCACTTTGACTTGTTAATGCAGGAGAAAATACTGTGTTTTTGTGGGATTAGTTTGCCATCTGGCTAGTGGGTTGAACTTGGTCGTGATGGAGGCCGGTGAGCTGCAGAGTTGGGGCTAAGGCCAAGGAAGAGAAAGAGCTTGCAGCTGTGAGCTGAGAGTCTAGAAAATGGGGTGAGGGAAAAGGATCTTTCCCTTCAGATGGTCATTAGCCTGAATTAGACCACCCTGAGATAGACTGATGGAAGTGAATAGGAATTAGTGCTACAGAACTTAAAAACCCGCCTTGACACAATCCTGGGCAGTGTGCCCTAGGTGACTCCGCTTGAGCGGCAGTCTCCGCTCTCCACACTAGATCTCCACAGGTCCCTTCCAACCTCAACTGTTCCGTGATTCTGTGAAAACAGTCATTTGTTAAGTGTGTAAATTTCCTGGAGTAGAACTAGAGTGTAAGGGAAAGACAAGGAGGAATCTTATTACAAAATAACTGATATAGTCAGAAGGAAGATTACTGTATTCCCTTGACTCTTGATTTTAACACAGCACAATTGTGTGCCCTGTCCTTTCTGTGCCCTGCTGACCTTTTTCGCTGCTTTTTGGCTTAGTGGGGAGCAGCAGTTGCTTTCTGTAGTCTGAACTTACTTTGTAGCAGTGTATCTGAATCTAAGCTGTCAATGGTGGAGCTAATGGTTTACCTCTCTTCCTCCACTTGTCATGAAAAGGAACAACCCTGGCTGCAGGGTTGGAAGGACAAAGCTGTGTGTAAAAAAGCTCTGACTGTAATCTCATAAACTGTGGAAGAAGAGTATGATAGCTTTGTGGAACTAAGAAAATAGAGTCGTTTTGATACGAATAGAAAGAACACGAGATGATGCAGAGTACGTTTGGGTAACTTTAGCAGTTCAATAGATATCCATTCCTTGTACCGTCTGTTAGAAATAGCACACTACCTATGTAGAGAGCTGATGGGTCAACCATTTTGCCTGTTGCTCGAGCTCCGTACCTGGGCATCATCACTGACTTTATGCTGCCCCCAAGGTCTCTCACATAGACTATATCTAGGTCTTGACACTTTTATGATCTGTGTAGTGTCTCCCATGTGTGCCTGAACAGGAAGGCAATGTAACTTAAACTGGGTCCAACCTCTTCTTTTATATTTTGATTGTTTTGTTAAAGTTTCGTTTCCGGCAGTAAAAAGTGCAGTATTGGACTGCTGCAGGGTTAATTTTGCTGATCTGTTACTTTGGCTGTGTCACCCTTCCCTTTGTTTCCTTCTGCTGATCTGCTATCTTTTTCCCTCTTTCATAAAATGTGAGCTACTTTTAAGGACTTTTCTAGATTGTGCCTTGACCTGTTGATGATCTCTTGAGTGCTATCAGCAAGCCTGTTGTCTGCTTGTGTTGGCAAAGATGGAATTATACAAAGCTAATTGCTAGATAAGTACCTGCTTTCACCTTTCGCTATTGTAAACACCTACTTTACTATTGTAGTAGTGCTTTCTGCAAAGCACTACTATTGTATTAGTGCTTTCTGCAAAACCATGGCTTTTTGATACCTATAGAAAGTTTGGCAGCTGTCCATCTTCTTAGTATGTAGGTTTTTCAGTACAATAGGATTTGTTCAGTTCTTTTGTACTTTATCTGGCTTTCTATCTTATGTTTCTTATGTGTCTTACCAACTGACACTATGTTCACAGAATTTATAGCATCTAAGTACACTGGGTTCCTGGTCTATGGTGGAAGTGCCTCCTTAGACATATCAAGTAAAGTTGTGGTTGGAGCTGGCAGTAAAAAAGCATTTCATTTCAAAGAAAAAGGGGTTTTAAAAAAAAGGGGGGGGAGGGGCTTAAAAAAAAGCCGACACCGTAGGAAAGCTGAAGGATTGAAGAAGAAAATTAATCCCGAAAATTGAGCATTCAGAGGATTTGGGGAAATTATTTGTGCGTTGAATATATAACATAGACTTCTTAAAATAAAGAAAAGTTTGTGCCTTTGTTACAGTTGCTCAAGAAAATAGAAGCTAACCAGCTTTTGTTTCTGTGCTCATTTGGGAGAGTGAAAAAACAATTTTTTTTTTTTTCTGGAAGTTTTAATTCTAAGAGGAGGCTGAAGAGATTTTGCATCAAAAGAACTTTAAAACTGACAGCTATTGTTGAAGCCAGCACTTTAGGATTCAACAGTTGACTGTGAAAGAGGAATGGATTGCTTAAAATAGCACAACTCAGTTACATTTGATATATTGTATTCAGCATATATTTCATTATTGTACAAGGAGGTGGCACTCAGATTCAGGAGTGTCTCCCTGCCCTGATCTGCCACTCCTCAATGACAGCCTTAAGGATGTCACTGTAGGGTACCTGCAGTAGGGACTTCAAAGCCTGTGCTGGCTACTTTGTTTCCAGCTACCTAGAGAGAGAAAAATAGTGTGAAGCTTTAGGATAGCGTGTGTAGCTTGCCCTCCTATCCTGAGAGGAGGGATGCAGGAGCTGACGAAAGAGAACTAAGCTGCAGAGAAACTTTTGAATGTGTGTAGAAGATAGAGGAGCTAGAAATGAAATAAATAGAAGAAAGAAAAGAAATTAGAAAAGAGATTATTTACCATATGTTTTTTGTAATTAGTAATGGCTTTGGGAATCTATCAAGATTCTCTAATATGGTTACAATAGAAACTTTTCTTTTTTTTTCAGACTAGAAGAAATAGTTAATGGAGTATATGTTGGCTGTAGTAGAATCTAAATATGGCTTCTATGTTGTACCTAAAGTTCAGTTTTAGGCAATCCTAGCTTTTAAAACTTCCATCGGCTATGTGAGAGCATGCGTCTCAGATCTAACAGATCCCTGGAAATCACTGTCAGGTACTTGAAATAACTTCTTGACTCAATAGATGCAGAACGGAAATGCTGTTAATGATATTTCTGCAGGAGCTCCTTGATGTTTTTTACCACATTTTTTGGAAGCATTCTATATCAGAGCAGCTGAAAACATCAGTGATTTTTATCTTCTCACATAATTCCTCCATGTGTTGTAGCCGTCCTTGAAGTGCTGTTTTCCAAAATACACAGTTTGTGATTCAGTGGGGAAAAACCCCTTTCTTAAGGATTTGTCTAAGCGTTCTAAACATTGGAAAACGTTATTGCAAGAAAGTATAGTAGTATGATACTGGGAGAACCTGGGATTTAATTAGTAGCAACTGTTACAATATGCAGTTGCATATTTTTCTGTAGTGGCCATCAAAATTAAACCTTTA